CGGGGTCGGCGTCGTCGTCGTCTTCGTCGTCGTCGACGTCGGCGTCGTCGTCGTCGTCGCCGCATTCGTCGTCGTCGTCGTCGTCGTCGTCGGCGTCGTTGACGTCGTCGTCGTCGTCGGTGTCGTCGTTGTCGTCGTCGTCGGCGTCGTCATCGTCGTCGTCGTTGTCATCGTCGTCGTCGTCGTCGGCGTCGGCGTCGGCGTCGTCGTCGTCGTCGGTGTCGTCGTCGTCGTTGTCGGCGTCGTCGAAGTCGTTGGAGACGTCCTCGGTGTCGTCGTAGTCGTTGTCGGCGGCGTCGTCGTCCTCGTTGTCGTTGTCGTCGTCGGCGTCGCTGTCGTTGCCAAGTGCCAGTTGGTACCCACCGTCACGGTCTTTTAAGAGATTTGGGTGGATGGGTGGGATGTTTGCGCGAGCAGCGGAGTGGACAACTCACTGCGAACCGAAATTAACTGCACCACATCGATTCTCCTTGCTCAAAAGAGAATAGACTCTACCCCCCCTGGCGTTATCGGTCCCCTTTCGTTATGACAACATGTCCATCCTAAATACAAATTTACACTATCCCCGGGGAACCGGTATCGGTTCCCCTGAGGCTCCCTGGTAAAAAACAATACGCGGGGACATTTGTTGTTCTGACATAAGACTTTTTCGCGAATCCCTTGCAAAAAACGGGACGAAGTGCACACGCGCGCGCCGTCGCGCGCGCATGCCGAAATTCTCCAATGTCGGAAGGATTTCGCAATCGAGTTTCCCAAAAACATATACAAACACAAGGTTTCGCAACACTGATTTGCTAAAGCAGCTTACGCGCGAGCTCTTACGAAATCTTAAGAAAACCGTAGGTTTTTCAAGATTTGCACAAAATGCTACCAAACGGGCTTCGCGCGCGCATGTCGAAATCTGTCGAACGCCCTTGCGCGTGTGCCGTCGCGAGAATCCTCTGAAAAAGCGGGGCGAAGTGCAGACGCGCGCGTCGTCGCGCGCGTATGCCGAAATCCTTCAAAACCCATCGGCTTCGGAAGGATGTCAACATCGTGTGTCCAGGAAACTTACAAAAACACAAGGTTTCGCAACACGGATTTTCAACAAAAGCGTGCGCGCGCGCTCTTGCGTCGTCGTCGTCGTCGTCGTCGTCGCCGTCCTCCCTCCTCCCGCGTCGTCGTCGTCGTCGCCTACGTCGTCCTCTGTCTTTCCTCGTGTTCGTCGTCGTCGTCCTCTTTGGCGTCGTGGTCGTTTCCGTCGTCGTTGTCGCCGTGGTCGTCCTTCCTCCTCCTCCCCGTCGTCGTCGTCGTCGTCCGTCGTCGGCGTCTCGTCGTCGTCCCTCCTATTTCGTCGCCGTCGTCGTCGTCGTCGTCGTCGTCGTTGTCGTCGTCGTCGTCTTCCCTCCTCCCTCGTCGTTGTCGTCGTCGGCGTCGCCGTCCTTCCTCCTGCCTCGTCATTGTCGTCGTCGTCGTCGTTGTTGCCGTCGTCGTCCTCCCTCCTCCCTCGTCGTCGTCTTCGTTGGCGACGTCGTCGTCGTCGTCGTCGTCGGCGTCGGCGTCGTCGTCGTCTTCGTCGTCGTCGACGTCGGCGTCGTCGTCGTTGCCGCCGTCGTCGTAGTCGTCGTCGTCGTCGTCGGTGTCGTTGACGTCGTCGTCGTCGTCGGTGTCGTCGTTGTCGTCGTCGTCGGCGTCGTCATCGTCGTCGTCGTTGTCATCGTCGTCGTCGTCGTCGGCGTCGGCGTCGTCGTCGTCGTCGTCGTCGTCGGTGTCGTCGTCGTCGTCGTCGTTGTCGTCGTTGTCGGCGTCGTCGAAGTCGTTGGAGACGTCGTCGGTGTCGGCGTAGTCGTTGTCGGCGGTGTCGTCGTCGTTGTCGTCGTCGGCGTCGCTGTCGTTGCCAAGTGCCATTTGGTACCCACCGTCACGGTCTTGAGAGATTTTGCAAACCAAGTTGCGGGTAGGTGGGTGGGATGTTTGCGCGAGCAGTGGAGTGGACAACTCGTTTGTTAAAATCACTTGCACAGCATCTATTACACCACATGCGTTTTACAGCATATATGGCACCACATAGGGCAGGCTACCATCTACATTTCGAACGTATTGCTGATTGTCAGATGTGATAGTTTAGTTTACTCAAGCCGGAGCTGCGGCTCGGATACCAGTCTTTTGTACAGATTGCCGCGAGTGTATCTTGCTAAGGGTTGTTTTGGTATCAGCTTGTCACAGCTACAAGCCTCACGTAACTCCACTACATATACACGTTGGTAGCACCACTCGGAACCGACAACTCGACTGAAACATTGGAAATTTGCAGCGTTGACAGGGGCTACACGTGAATCGCTATCGGAGGTCTGCAATTTTTGCAGCTCGGAGAAGCCTTTCCGTCCAGGACATCTCAAATATGATAAGACTGCATTTTGGGGCGCATCCTAGCAGAGAGTTGGCTGCACTGGGGTCACACCACTGCTGAAAGTATGAGCAAATCCGATTGGAGTTTCAATCTAATACATGTCGCATCTGGCTGTACCTCTAGGTTCATGTTACGTCGGCTTGCGATGGCCCCATTCGAATGCTGACATACGTGGCCACCACTTTGATGCCACCCTACTTCATAGATGACGGGGTCGGGGTGGCAGGACGAGGAGGAGGGCGAGGGAGAATACATTGAGGGTATGGAAAGCGAAGGAGGAGGCTCATGAGGAATTGGGGGGTGCGAAGGAGAAATGGGGGGGATGATGAGGAGAAGGAGTGCCATAAGGGCGCGTTGACGTCGATGAGAAGGATGGCGGGTGTATAGACGGCATGTAACACGATTAAACACATGATGTGGAGGACGAGTGGGGCTCCGAGCCGAAGGACAGGCCGAATAGTGAAGAAACGCACCACGTGGCTTCCCAAACTGGGCGCATGTTCCACACTGGCCTTGCTTCCACTTTCCACCTCAGTGAACTCCACATGTACCAGGACTTGGACCAGCTTCACTGCGTAATCACATATTAGTTGAGACAGCACCACCAATACGGCCTGACCAGTGCCCAAACGATAGGGTACCATATAACGGTGCAGTACCGTATAAATGCAGTGGGTCCGACACGGCAGGGTCCTACATGAAAGGGTCCCACGCGACATGGTCTCGCACGATCGGGTGCCACATGATCAAGTCCTGCATGGTAGGGTCCCCCCCGATAAGGAACCAGACGATAAGGACCCTGACAAAGGGGTCCTGGAAGATAATGCCCTCGCGATGCCGTTACACGGCTTGGCCGTGCCGTTACATTATACGTGCATTGTTTCTTGGGCAATATTTGGAGGCGTGTCTGGGGCTTCTTGGGAGCTCCTGGATGGCCTTTGGAGGGCCCGTCTTTGAGCCGCCTGGTTTCACCTTGAGAAAACAGTGCCTCTCCGTGCTCGGTTCTCCGCGGCCTTCCTGGAGGATTCGGTGCCTGTTTGGATATCTGTGGGCATATTTTGGCCACCGGGGGGATGTTTGGCCATTGTAGGTTGGCCTGCGGTCATCTCGCAGGCGCGTCAGGGCAGTTTCGGGCCGTCTTCGGGCCGAGGAGAACGCCACGGCACCACATAGCCTGCACCACATTGCTGATATAACATAGCTTGAGCCACACCGTTTGCAACGTCAGTTGAACCACCGATATACTCCTTTCAAAGAGGATGTTGACTTTATCAGCCTTCCCACCTGGGATTAATTGTGTACCCTGGGACATTGCAAATTACATATGGTTCTGCCCCATCGTTCGTCATTCATACCATCCCATGCGACCTGGCATCGACCCCTCGTCCTTGTCAAGTACTTCTACGCTCCCGCGCCCGTTCATCTTAAACCTATGTTCAAATAACCTTTTGAGGACACGCCACAGTTTACAAACGCGCGCAGATGTCGACCTCGTTCCGAGCACAAGACATGTAAACATGGAACCCTTGATATTTCCATCACAACTCTTTCAGATTGCCTGCCCACGCGCGCTTGCTGAAATCATAGGGGAACCACATGGCTTATTCACTTTCACCCATGGCACTCACTATCACCGCACCACGCGGTGCATAGGCGTTGATCTAGCATGCGCCCAGTGCGCGAACCCGCACGAAATAACACCATGCGGGCCACGCACGCTCTCCGCCACGTCCGCGTGTCGAAATCTTTCCAGGACATTTGTTCCAGAGCATTTCACAACGGCAAGTCGTTCACATTTCTTGAATTTACGCGCACGCGCTCACTTCCTCATCATGACCCTCATCAGCGCCACCGCACCGTCGCCGTTATCGTCATTCTCAATCGCCATCATTGTCGCCATATGGACATCATCGTCGTCGTCGTCACCAGCATGGGAGCGGTCATTGGCCGTGTCGTCGTCATCGTCAGCATCGCCACCACCATCGCCATGATCATCATTGTTGCCGCCGTTGTCGACGTCATCCAGATACCTCTCCAACCCATGTCACCGACCCGCACTGAAGTGTCTGCGCCCCAGCGCGGCCATTGCGACGCGCTGTGATGATCCAATAGGTAAGCGCCATCGCGGCGGCGTGGGTTGTGCCAATTCAGCTGGCCGTTCTGCGCGCGAGTTCGCGCGCGCCAGCGCGGCTGCAGAGATGTGCACGCCAGCGCCAAGTAGTCACCACAATCGCGGCCATATGGTTTTGCACGAAAAGTTGCGGGTGGTGGGGGGGGGTAGGATGATTGCGCCAGCAGTGGAGTTGACGACTTCACGTTCTGCAAGGTGGACTGCACCAAATAGTTTGCGCCCTATATATTGTGCCACTTGTAGCTTGCACAGCGCAGTTTGCACATCTGCAGTGCACGCATTCGTTGCTTGGGGCTTACGGTGGCCATCATTAGTTTGACCGGTTCGGTGCAGGCTTCGGAACACCTCGGGCCAATTCCGATAATGTTGTGTTGTCGTTAGGAAGCGCGTGCAACCATATGAGGCGCGTGCATGTATGATTGTGTGTGCCTTCTGTGCTCTTCTTTCCCATCTGATCCCTCCCACCCTGTGTATATAGAGGACCAGGCCACCTTGCAGCTCCATGGATCTCTGCGGGATGATTTGCGAGAAGCCGTTGCAATCGAGGAGATCTCGGGATTAGGCGACCGAGGCTTTGAAGAGATGTTGTTGGGCCAGGCAGTTCACGCTGCTTGGTCGGACCGAGGGACCCAACATCGGGATCTGCAGTGACAATGGTTCGATAATGTCTCCCAATCTCCAGCACGCTTGCGCAAAGGTTCTCTCGCGCTGGATTTAGACCTGACGGTGGAGAGCTTGATGGATGCTTAAGATCAGACCCCAGTCTTGGAAACCCCGCCACGCCAGCGAATCCCATGTCTCGCGGATCCCCATGGTTGGCCTTCCTCCTGCGACTCGCAGGGTCCCCCTCCCCAGAGCAAGGTCACCTCTTCAGGGTCCCCGTGGTCGAGTCCCGAACGTCGCAGCGTGGAGGGCGAAATGCAGTATGAACGCCGAGACGTGGGCAGAGCTGGCAGATCTCAAAGCCGTGGGGCTGGGGTGTACTCGGGCTGGTGGGAGTGCGGAGCCCATGATGGGCCAGTTTTCCACCACCACTGCCATGGGTAGGAGAGGGAGGAGGAAGAGGTCGAGGAGGAGGAGGAAGAGGAGGAGGAGGAGGAGGAGGAGGAGGAGGAGGAGGAGGACCTCCCCATCCTCCCTTCTCCCCCGTCCTACCTATGGCAGTGGTGGTGGAGAATCGGCCCATCAGCCCAGAGTCTGGGAGGGCTCTGTGCGCTTCCTGTACGGCCTCTGCGGCGCGCTCGCGATGGCCGAGCACAGCTGCCGCCCGAACGCGCGGGTGGAGTGGGACCCTGACGTGCGGAGGATGCGGTTGGTGGCCGTTCGCGCTAACGAAGACGCCTACGGCGAATCACCGCCGCCCCCTGCCTCTTGGAGTCGCCCACGTGGCCGAGCGTTGTGGCAAGAGCTCTGCCAAGCTATCTGACCATGTGCTTTCCCCCGGCCGTTGTGGAAACTCTTCGAGGAACACTTTGGGGAGGATGGCGGGGAAGATCAGGAGGAGGAGGAGGAGGAAAATGAGGAGGAGGGGGCATCGTGGGAGCCTCTAGGGTGACTCTTGGTGCCTCCTGGGAGCTTCCTGTGAGCCTCTTGGCGGCATCTTAGGGGCCTCCTTGGGCCTCTGGGCTTCTCGGGGGCTTCTTTGTCCGTCTTAGAGCGTTCCTGGCTCCTCTGACGCCGTCGGATGCCGCCTTCGGGCCTCTCTGGGCAGACTTGGGGCCCTCTTGGGGTGCTCCAGGGCCGTCTTGGAGGCGGCCTCTTGGGCCGTTTTGGGGCCATAATGGAGGCCTCTTGGGCGATCTCTGGGGTCTCTTGGGCCTCTCGGGCCGTCGGAAGGCCGAAAAGACACACATGCTGACATCCTTCAAAAACCGACGGAAATCAATGATTTTGGCCTCTTCGGGCCTTCCTGGAGGTCCTCTTGGGGGCCTCTTGGGGCCCTCTTGGGCCCTCTTGGACCATCTTGAAGCCATCTTGGGCCGACTTGGATGCATCTGGGGCCCTCTTGAGTGCATCTTGGTGCCATCTTTGGCTCTCTTGGTGCCGTCCTGGCAGTCTTGCCTGGCGGCCATCTTGGGCGACCTTTGCCGTCTTAGAGGCGATCTGGGCAACGGGGGACGACATTTGGGAACCTTACCGGGTGACCGGCGCGTTGGGCCGAAGCCCCAGGGGGAGGCCTTCTGGAAGAAGAGCCACAACCAAGCCGCATAGGATTTAGCACGCCAGGCACCCTTGTGTGGCAAGCCAACAGGGGGCGGCGGATGACGGAAAGCGCGCTTGCGTCGCGACCCGTTCTAGTCGAGAGACATAACACGGGGGTCTGTGGGGGGTAGGAAGGCAGGACGAGCCCCAGATGACGGAAAGCGCGCGTAGCGTACGATCCGTTAGTCGGAAGGAATTAATTAGGGGGAGTGTGAGGGGGTGGTCTCTGTATTGCGGGATGACGGAAAGCGCGCGTTAGCGTGCGGTCCGTTAGTCGGAAGAAATTGGACTTGGGGGAGTTCGAGGGGGGTGGCATCGCCAGGCCCGCTTCGTTTTTTATCGAGTAGGACGGCCTTCGGGGCTTAAAAACAGCGTTTCGCTCGAGACATCATCGGAGAACGCTTCTTGGGCGCTTCTTGGGCCGTCTTAGGCGCCTAAGACAGCCCAAGAAGCGGCCAAGACGGCGCCCAAGACGGCCAAAGACTGCCCAAGAAGCGCCCAAGACGGCCCAAGAGCGCTCCAAGAGAGCCCAAGACCGCCCAAGGCGGTCCCAAGACGTCCCAAGAGGCCTCCACGACGCCCCAGGAGGCGCCCACGAGGCGTCCCAAGAGGGCCCCAAGAGGCCAAAATCATTGATTTTCTGAAGGGAAACATGCATTTCTGGCATATACGGCTTTTCACTTTTCACGGCGTTGAAGACGGTCCAAGAGGCCCCCAAGACCGCCCCAAGACGTCCCAAGATGTTTCCAAGAGGCCCCCAAAATAGCCCAAGAGGGCGCCAAGACGGGCCAAGAGGCGTCCAAGACTGTCCAAGAGGCCCCCAAGAGAGCCCCAAGAAGGCCCAAGAGGCCCCCAAGAAGGCCCCAAAACGGCCCAAGAGGGCGCCAAGACGGCCCAAGAGGCGCCAAGACGGCCCAAGACGGCCCCAGGACGGCCCCAAGAAGGCCCCAAGAGGCCCCCAAGAGAGCCCAAAGACGGCCAAAGGCAGCCTAGTCCCTTCACCCCCGCAGCCCAGAAGCTCCCAGGAGGCCCCAAGAGGCCCCCGAAAAGCCCCCAAAGGTCCCCAAGAGGCACCCAAAGGCTCCCCAAGAGCCCCCCAAGAGGCCCAAAATACTCCCAAAGGCTCTTAGCACCGCGGCTCCCAAGAGCGAGCGGTGACGTAATCGAGCTGATAAGACCAAAGCTCCCAACAGAGAGCTGCGGCGTAATAAGTTCTTGACGCCAGGGCACAGGGACGGGCGGCAACGCGTGGACAACGAGCGGTCCACGCAAGGAAAACGCGGGGTTCTGGAAAGCTGGCAGCCCAAACGCGGAAAACGCAACGCGACCCGACCGCCCCCTCCAAAACAAGAAACGCGCTCAAAGAAAGCTCCGCGACTCTCCGAGGCTGAGATAGGACAAGAGCGAGGGGAAGGGAGTCAATAAGAGGTGTAAGAGCGGACGAGCCAGCGATCTCGTGCGCTCTGAAAGTAAGTGCGCTTTCCGTCCCCGTGCCAAGCAGGTGACGGAAAGAGCGAGGTACGAGCGAGTGGCGTTGAGTTGGGGCGAAGCCCTTCTTAGGGAGGGTCCAGGGGGGTGCGAGGCCCGGACGTATGGTCTAATCGCCCGTTTCCTTAGTATTTTCTTGAGCGAGGCGGCTCCCGGGCGGCTCCCATGGCCTGTTTTTTGTATTTTTCCAGGTGAAGCGGCCCACGGGCCCCAAGACGGCCCAAGACGGCCCCAAGACGGTTCCAGGAGAGTTTCAGATGGCAGCTGGACGGTCCAAGAGGGTCTCGAGACGGCCCCAGAGGCCCTCCAGAGGGCCCCCGAGAGGGCCTCAGGAGGCGAAAAACCTTAATTTTCCTATGAATTTTGCAGGGTTTTCGGGCTCTCCCCTTTTCCGTCCCAGAAGGGACCCAGACGGCCCAAGAGGCCCCAAAGATCGTCCCAAGACAGCCCCAGAGGCGCCCCAAATTGCCCAAAACGGTCCAAGAGAGCCCCCAGACGGGCCCAAGACGGCCCAGAGGCTCCAAATATCGTCCCAAGACGGACCCGGAGGCGCCCCAAACGGGCCCAAAACGGTCCAAGAGGGCCCCCAGATGGGCCCAAGACGGCCTCAGAGGCCCCAAAGATCATCCCAAGACGGCCCCAGATGCGCCCCAAAGGGGCCCACAACGGCCCCAGATGGCCCCCAGTCGGCCCCAATACGGCCAAGAGGGCCCCGAGGGCTCTAAGAGAGCCCAAGAGGGCCCCAATAGGCTCCCCAGCGCGCGCGAAGAGAATGAGAGGGGAGGAGGAGGAGGAGGAGGAGGAGGAGGAGGAGGAGGAGGAGGAGGAGGAGGTGGAGGAGGTGGAGGAGGTGAGGAGGGAGGAGGAGGAGGAGGAGGAGGAGGAGGAGGAGGAGGAGGAGGAGGGAGGAGGGAGGAGGAGGAGGGAGGAGGAGGAGGAGGAGGGTGAGGAGGCGGAGGAAGGGAGGAAGGAGGAGGAGGAGGAGGAGGAGGAGGAGGAGGAGGAGGAAGAAGAGGAGGAGGATGAGGAGGCGGAGGCGGAGGCGGAGGCGGAGGCGGAGGAGGAGGAGGAGGAGGAGGATGAGGAGGAGGGTGAGGAGTTCTTCACACCAAGGCCCAGCCAATGCTCAGGAACGGGCCGCAACGTAACAATCTCTGAACACCAGGGCTCCCCACGGAGACGGCGACGCAACAAGGTCTCCACACCAAGGCTCCCAAGAGCAGGGTGCCATGAGCTATCTCGGGCAGGTGCCTGAGGCGCTCTTTCGGTTTCCGTGCCGGCCCAGGTGACGGAAAGAGCGAGGTACGAGTGAGTTCCGTTGAGTTGGGGCGAAGCCTTTCTTGGGGGGGTTGCAGGGGGTGTGCGAGGCCCGGACGTATTGGTCTAATGGCCCGTTTCCTTCGTAGTTTTTTCGAGTGAAGCGGCACCCGGGCGGCTCCCATGGCCCGTTTCTTTGTATTTTTTGCAAGTGAAGCGGCCCAAGGGCCCCAAGAGGGCCCAAGAGGGCCCCAAGACGGCCCCAAGAGAGCTTCAGATGGTCGCTGGACGGTCCAAGAGAGTCTCGAGACGGCCCCCGAGGCCCTCAAGAGGGCCCCCAAGAGGGCCTCAGGAGGCCAAAAACATTGATTTCCCTAGGGTTTGTGCAGGTTTTTCGGGTTCTCCCCTTGTCCGTCCCAGAAGGGCCCCAGACGGTCCAAGAGGCCCCAAATATTGTCCCAAGACAGCCCCAGAGGCGCCTTACATTGGCCCAAAACTGTCCAGGTGGGCCCTTCGACGGGCCCAAGACGGCCCAGAGGCACCAAATATCGTCCCAAGACGGCCCCGGATGCGCCCCAAACGGGCCCAAAACGGTCCAAGATGGTTCCCAGACGCCCAGGGGTTCAAGGGAGGGGGTGGGGCGCAGGGATGAGTGTTAATGGCCGTTTTCGGGTTTTCCCTCGGGTTTTTGCATGTTTTTCGGGTTCTCCCTTTTTCCGTCCTAGAAGAGCCCAAGACCGCCCACGACAGCCCCAAGTCGTCCCACGAGGCCTCCAAGACGCCCCAAGAGGCGCCCAAGAGGCGTCCCAAGAGGGCCCCAAGAGGCCAAAATCATGGGTTTTTCCGTAGGACCACGTGCATTTTTAGCATCTGCGGTTTTTCGGCTTTCACGGCGTTGACGACGGCCCAAGAGGCCCCCAAGACCGCCCCAAAACGGCCCAAGAGGCTCCCAAGAGGCCCCCAAAACGGCCCAAGAGGGCCCCAAGACGGCCCAAGAGGCGTCCAAGACGGCCCCAAGAGGGGGACCACGAACCGAAAAGTCTAGCCCTTCGCCCCAAAACGCTTCCAGGAGGCCCCAAGAGCCCCCCAAGAAGCCCCAAGAGGCCCCCAAGAGGCGTCCCAAGAGGCCACCAGGAGGCCAACATCATTGATTTCCAATATGGAAAAAGATACATTTTTAGCATACGCGGCTTTTCGGCTTTCGCGGCGTTGAAGACGGTCCAAGAGGCCCCTACCCCAAGACCGCCCCAAGACGGCCCAAGAGACTCCCAAGAGTCCCCCAAAACGGCCCCCCAAGACGGCCCAAGAGGCGCCCAAGACGGCCCAAGAGGGCCCCAAGACGGCCCCAAGAGGGGGACCACGAACCGAAAAGTCTAGCCTTTCGCCCCAAGAAGCTCCCGGGAGGCCCCCAGAGAAGAGGCCCCCCAGAGGTTCCGAAGAGGCTTCCAAAAGGGCTCCAAAAGGGCCCCAATAGGATTTCTAAGAAGGCCCAGAGACGCCAAATAGAGAGCGATCGGTAACGCAAAAAGCTCTTCACACCAAGGCTCCCAAGAGCGAACGGTGACGTAAACAAGCTGATAAGACCAAGGCTCCCAGCAGAGAGCGGTGACGTAACAAGTTCCTGACACCAAGGCCCAGCCAAGGCTCAGGAACGGGCGGCCACGCAACAATCTCTCTGAACACCAAGGCTCCCAAGAGCGAGGGGTGACGTAACAAGCTCTCAACGCCAAGGCTCCAGGAATGAACGGTGGTGTGCGTAATTTCGGTTTCTGTTTCTGAAGCGTTCCTTCCGTTTCTGCGCCGGGCCAGGTCTACTGGCCTTTGGCTTATTCCGCCGCCGCGCCTGTCCACGGGCCCTCTCGGTCTGTTTTTGGGCCCTCTTGCGCCCGAGAAACTTACGCGAGATGACGCGCCGGGGCCCAAGAGGCACGCTGGAAACCCTGGGGATACTTTGGCATCTGGGATCGAGGCCCTTCGCGATGTTGAGGATTGAGGACTACGTGCAGAGGAGCTGGGTGCACTCCAGTTCGACGGCTTCTGAATTCTTGGGCGCGCGGCTCCCTGGCCGCGACTTTCATGGGCCTGCGACAATTCAGCCCACTTCAATTTCTATGATAAGGGGCAAAGCCACCAGGAGGTCGACCTCTTTCAATGCAGCGACACTCCAGCTCGTGCCTCGCGGCACGGCGGCGGATTCGGGCCGGCGAGTCCGTGTCGCGGTCCTACCTAGACGCAGGCGCGCTCATGTGTCCAACGGCATCGCGCATGCAAGCGCTGCGTGCCGACTGGGGGTTCGAGTGCGGCTGCGCCCGCTGCAGTGAGCGGGTGGAGAGCTGGGAGGAGCCCGGGGCGACAGCACGGGCCATGGCGGAGGCAGGGGCGACATCCCCAGGATAGAGGTTCGAGGCGGGGATTTGTCTAGAATCACAGCCCGGGGGGGGCCGATCTTCGGTGACCGCGGCGGTCGATGGATATGGACATCTGCGCCTCCCCTGGGGATAGAAAGTGCCCATGTCCACCGCCAACTGGGGTCCCAATGCGTCAGTTCCCCAGGCAGTGAATAATCGCCGCATCGTAATTAGAGGACGAGGAGGAGGAGGAGGAGGAGGAGGAGGAGGAGGAGGAGGAGGAGGAGGAGCAGGGAACCTTTGTTATATACGGGTGGGAAGGGAGGTTGACACCGGACGATGATGGCGATGATACTGATGATGATAATTGCTGTGGCGATGCTAAGAAAGTTGATGCTGCTGATGATGAGGATGATGATTATGATGATGACGATGACGAACGAGGACGATACGGATGGTGGTGACGATGACGACGATGATGATGCTGATGATAAAGATGATGATGGTGATGCCGATGATGATGATGATGCTGCTGCTGTTAATGATGATGCGGATGGTGATGCTTATGCTTAGGATGATGGTACTTATGATGGTTATGCTGATAGTGACAATGGCAATGCTGATGCTGATGATGATGGAGAACACGTTGATGCTGCTGATGATGACGACGATGATGATAATTCTGCTGTTGCGATTGTTGTTCGTGCTGATGTTTACAATGCGAGCGATACTGACAATCATAATTGCGATCGTGATGATGATGCTGCTGATGATGATGGTGAGATGTGTTGGTGACGATGCTGATGGTAGTGGTGGTGATGTTGACTGATGGTGGTGGTGGTGATGAGGATGATGCGAATGATGATGATGATGATGATGATGATGATGATGATGATGATGATGATGATGATGATGATGATGATGATCATGATCATCATGATTGAGATGATTATGATGATGTTGATGCTGATGCGGATGCTGATGATGAGTATGATTGTGATGGTGATGCTGCTGCTGCTGATGACGATGCTGCTGATGATGATTCTGATGCTGCTGATGATGATGATGATGTTGATGATGATGATGATGACGATTATGTTACTTATGATGCTTGGTATGCTTGTTATGATGATGGTGGTAGTGGTGATGATGGTGACCAGTATGATGATGATGATGACGATGATGATGATGATGATGATGATGATGATGATGATGATGATGATGATGATGATGATGATGACGATGATAAGGAGAAGGATAAGGATGAGGAGGAGGAGGAGCAGGAGGATGATGGAGGTGATGACGACGACGGTGACGAGAATGGTGATGTTTCGTTCCTCTGTTGGATGAGTGGCTGCCATGTGTAAGTAAGTCGTGGATCCCAACACAGCGAGGCAGTGGTGCGAGTTGAACCTCCAGTGCGATGCCTGCCTGGGCGCTTTCGCCCTTTCGCCAGTAATGAAACGAATGTGCCTTTCCGTGGTGGGCAGGGTTCCCGTCTTAGGGCCTTAGACCTGGGGCTTCCTTGTTCTCTCGAGCAGGGTGCGTGTGCGGAGTGGGGGCGAGCCCTCTTCCGGCCCTCCTTTGCCTCTCACCCCCTCTGTTTTCTCCTCCCGGCCCCCCTTCAAGACACTCTGACCTTGCAGGAGGCCGCCAGAGAGGCGGCGGTACCGCTGCTGCCGGGGGGGCTGCTGGATCTGCAGCGGTGCGCGGAGCCCCAGGGGCTGAGCCTGGACGAGGGCTCTGTCGCCGCCGTTGGCAAGGCCTCGCTCCTCCCAGCCCGCCCGTCCCACTCCCTCCTGTCTTTCCTCCTGCTCCCTTTCGCCTACCCCCCCCCCCCAGCAGAGGAAAGGGGGCGGGGAAGGGAAAAGACGCAATTGAACGACCGAGGGGTGGGTCGTCCGATTGATCGAGGGAGGGATGGAGCAGTGCGGAGGGAAGAGGGGACGGGGAGGGGCCGCTTCGCAGACGCTCCAAAAGGCCTCGGCCTCGTGCGCGGCCCTCGGCCTGCCTGAGGTGGGAACCCTGCTGCTGCTGTCGCAGCTGCTGGCCCAGGCAGGAGGAGGCGCGGCAGGACTGGGCGCGGGCGGCGAGGCCTTCCGACTGCACCTCGCGGGCGGCGAAGCCTTCCGACTGCACCTGCGCTTATCACCGCCGCCAGACTTGGAGGATCGGTGGGTGCTTCAGCGGGTGGGGGCGCAAAGGGGATGTCTTGCGCCTGTCGGGGCTCTCTGGGGGCGTCTTGACCTCTTGGGACGTCAGTGGGCCGAACTGGGCCCCTGTGAGCACTCCAGTCACCATCTTGGGCGGCATATTGGGGAAGCGACGGTATGAACAACACAACAACACAAACTGACTCCAGCGGCTGGGTGCCTCTCTCGGGACTTCGTCGGTCGAGTGGCGTGACTGCGTGGCGTAGCCCAGTTGATGCGTGTTGTATGCTTGACGTCAGCGCAGTTGCGCTGCCACTCGTATCCGCCTCCGCTTTGTGGAGGTCGAAGGGTATTGTAGGACAGGGTGGGGCGGGGGGGAGAATCCACCAGCACAGCACCTCCCCACCAGGCAGGTGTTTGGATTGATATTTCTCTTGCGGACGGTCAACGCACGGTGCAACAGGCGAAGCGAGCGACCCGCACTTCGGGCCAGACACGAAATCCCGCGCGGCGCGGGGGCGAGCAATTGCCACGCTGCCTTTGATTCCAAAGCGCAGCGCAACACGCGCAACAATGTACACCATGCGGGACCCATCTTCACCAACTGCGGGCAGGCACAGAGATTGGGCCGCCTTGGGGGGAAGGGTAGGACGTTTATTTACAGGCGTAGGTTTGTTTTCTGTGCTTCTCCTAATGTTTACCAGGTGCCAGCAGGCGCAACAGTTGGTCCTCCTACGGGGGGCGTCCATCACGGTGGTATCACGGGTCTGTTTGCGACGGCGTTGGTTGCACGGTTCGCCGGTAGCGCTTGTTTGAGGACAGAGACAGACAAGCTAGAGAGAGCGACTGTGCGAGAAGGATGCGGGTGAAGATATCTTGGTTGACCACGAAAGCCTTGGGGTGCCCCCGTCTCGCGATGTCGGGGAAGGATCCAGTGTTAAGTCGGGCCTGTGCCTCTACAGGAAGAATCTTCAAAATAATAGTCTGGGGACGATTTTTCGACTATGTTTGACAATGTTGGATTATTTTTTGATTTTGTTTTCCCTCCAACATCCGCTTGTAGGAGGCCATGCTCGACCTAAATCCAGAGAACGGTTTGGGGGCTCGAGGAAGCCTCGCGGAAGGGACAGGTGGTCTCAAGCACCCCACCTTGATCTGTGTCGTCCCCGCCGGAGCACCCCCCGCGAGAAGGAGGAGGATCGGAATCAGGCCGCCGAGGAGGCATTTCCGTCGGCAAAGCGGCGGCGGCGGCTGCGCGCCAAGACTGGCGTCAAATGACGGCCGCCCGCGCCCGCGGCGGAAAGGCTCCTCTGCCAGTTGCGTTTCGCACGCTCCTCCCGCAACCCAGATGCTCCGTCGGAGCCCCGCTCCGCAGAGCCCTTTCCCCTTGGGAGCCCCTCCCTCACAGCCTTCCCCATCCCCGCCCAGGACCCCCTCTCATGACTCTCCTCACACCTCCCTCTCAGAGCCCCAGCTGCCCCGTCCCCCCCCCCAAGAGAGAGATATAGAGAGAGAGAGGGAGAGCGAGAGAGGGAGGGAGAGAGAGAGAGAGAGAGATTTCGAATACCAAGAGAGCTGCAAGGAACACGTCTGGGCTGGCCCTCCCGGAAATCTAGTTAACTATACCAGTACGATGTCATACATATCCAGTGGCTTTCGGCTCATCCAGACATTGTGCTTGGGTAGGGTTGGAGGGGAGGCTTCAACTGTCTGGTGAGTGACGCCAGAATGAAATTGCTCCCCACCAGGACATATCGTTATTCACGATCCGAGTCCCAGTTCGATGGGTGACAAACAACTACCACACGCTTGACGTCATTCATAACAGTTTTTGCGCAGTAAGTATATGATCGCAATCACAAGCACATAGCGATGTTGGCGGGCAGTTATATTCAGTTGGTGCTGCCGCGCGCTCGGAACAGATGCTGACATGTGACCGACCGTTCCTCTGCACGGTATTCACATACTTTAGCACGCTGTTTAAACGATTGCCATTGTCTGACTAAGTCATGTATCGCTTCTGGTGTTGCCAGTGTCGGCGCCAGCTCGTTGATGTCGTTCGGGACATTTTGCTGGAAGCCATGTGGCTCTAGGCTCTGCGATAATCCAGACGCGTGTATTTCGAAGTGGGCGCTGTCCGAACACCACCCTCGGGCTTCGTTTGTCCCCCGTACTCGTCGCCGTCACGGACTCCTGTGGTAGCAATGTCTTACTTGTCGTCCAAGTCGATCGCCGCGCAGTCGTGAATTAGCAAGCGTGGGCCCCAACCAGTTCTGTATTGCATTGTCGAGGTGCGAACTACGCGATGCAAGCTTTGCGGTGGCAACTTTGCCGTGGAAGCTATATGGTGTGAGCTATGGAGGTGTAAGCGATGCGGTTTAAACCATGTGTTGCGAGTTATGCCGCGCAAGATGAACATTAGTTTCCCCAACCAGAGCTTGCACTCAGGGGTTCTTATTTCTCTTCTAAGGAACTGGGCCTGACGGTCGGTCCAGCGGCTGTGTGGCCGCCGTCGCCGTCCTGTCGCCGCCTCATCGCCGCCCGTCGTCTGGGCCTGACGGTCAAACTGGCGGTATGTCTACGTGGCTGCCGTCGTCGCCCCGTCGCCGCCCGTCGTCTGGGCCTGGCGGTCGGTCTGGCGGCTATGTGGCCGCCGTCTCTTCGCCGCCCGTCGTTTGGGCCTGACGGTCGGTCTGGCGGCTACGTGGCTGCAGTCGCCGCCTACGTAGATTGTTTCACATCGGTTGCACCACATAGATTGCAGCACATGGATTGCGCAACACATCTTGCCCAACATAGGTTGCATTTTCTACCTCGGGGCGGGAAGGGGGAACCAATGTGTCTCTCATTCGATATTATCCTTTGGATGAAACTCCCGATCTCACAACAGCTCTCACACACGATCTAACAATAGATCTCACTATCGATTCCACAACAGTTCCTACTATCGATCTCGCACTAATCTAGTGATCGATTCGACGATCGACGATGCCGCAACTGATTTTACAATCGATTTCCCAATCGATTTCACCACCGGTTTGGCAATGGATTTCCAAAGGCTTTCACATCCCGACTCATCATCGATCTCACAGCAGTTCCCATTTGCGATTTGACAATCGACCTCACCGTCGATATCGATACCACTTTCGGCCCCACGATAGATTTCACGAGCGAGCTCACGGTCGATCTCACAACAGATCTCATTATATACTGCATAACAGATCCCCCTATCGATCCCACAACAGATCCCACAATCGATGTCTCCATCGATTTCACTATCGATTTGACGATCGATCTGAGGAAAGGTCTCACACACGATCTCCAAACCGATCTCAGTATCGACATGACAACCGAATTCACCATCGACACCGCAAGCGATCGTGTGATTTATCTCGCAACAGATCTCATCACCGATCCCCCAATCGATCTCACCATCTGTCTGACAATCGTGCCCGCAATCGATCTCACATTCGGATTCACTATCGATCGTACAACAGTTTTCGCAATCGGTATTTCACTATCGATTTCACGATCGATCTCACCATCGGTACCACTATTGGTTTCACAGTCGATCCCACAATTGGTCCCACCACCAATTCCAGTATCGATATCACTGTCGACCGCACTGTAGATTGCACGAGCGAGCTCACAAACGATGTCGTTGCAGCTCTCACTGTCCATCTCACAACAGACCTCCCTATCGATCACACAACAGCTCCCACCATCGATATCACTATCCATCTCACTACGGACTTCCCTCTCAATCTCACTATCGACTATCGATTTCACATTCGACCCCGCTATCAATTTGCAATCGATATCACGATCGATCTCTCAAGCGCTCCCACCATCGACTCACAACAGGTCCCACGATCGATCTCCCAATCGATCCCACCACCGATCCCACAATCGAACTTACAACACTCCTCACATTCGGAACCACTTCTGGTCCCGTAACCGTTCCCCCGCATCGTTCTCCCACTATCGGTTTCACACGTGGATTCACCATTGATTCCATTATCGGTTGCACAGTCGCTCCCATCATCGATTTTCCTGATCGATCCCAGTGGTGATCTCGCTGTCGATCACATCATAGATCCCATGAACGATCCCACCGTCGATCTCACAACAGATCGCGTTATCCATATCACAACGGATCACACTATCGATCGTAGTGCAGATCCCACAATCGATCTCACTATCGATCCTACTATCGGTTTGGTAATCGAACTCACAACAGATCCCGCCATCGATCTCCCAATCGATATCACTGTCGATTCGACAATCCAATTGATTATCGATATTGCATGGGATCCCGTGGGCGGTCTCACAACAGATCACACGATCGATCTCCCAGTCGATCACACCATAGATCTGAAGATCGAACTCGCAATCGACTTTGCATTCAGACCAACTGTCGATCTCCCAACAGTTCTCACACTCGGTTTTTCGCTTTCGATCTCACAATCGATCGCACCATCGATCGCGCTATCACTTTCAAAATCGATCTTACAATCCATCTCGCAATCGATCTCAATATCGATATCACAGTCGGTCGCACCATAGATATCATGAGCGTTCTCACCTGCTATCGAGGACGCCGGCGGCGCATCACCGGCCGCTCCCTGGGAGTTTGCCGAAGATCGCGCAGCATCGAAAGTCGGGACGTGGCGCGGCCCATCCCGCCACCGTGCTTGGGTTTTGGGTCGGAGTCCTCGTGGACGCTTCTTGGGGTCTCTCGAGAGGGCTCTCGGGGCCTCTGCGGGGGAGTTTAGGGCCTCTTGAGGGCCTCCTGGGGGCTTCTTGTGAGCCTCTTGGGGGCCTCTTGGGGCCTTTGGGGGCTCTCTTGGAGCCTCTTGGGGGCCTCCTGGGGGCCTCTAAGAGCCCCCTGGGGGCCTCTTGGGACCGAAAGCTCAAAATGTTCATTCGGGTTCCCCTTCTGAGCGCCCTCTTGGGGCCGTCCTGGGGCCTCTCTTAGGCCGTTCTGGGTGCCTCTTGGGCCGTGTTGGGGCCCTCTTGCGCCGTCTTGGAGCCCTCTTGGGGGCTTGTTGGGCCGTCCTGGGGCGATCTTGGGGGCCTCTTGGGCCGTCTTGGAGCGTGGGTAAGCCGAAATGGCGAGAACGCGAAAATCCTTCAAATACCAATGACAAATCAATGATTTTTGCATGTTGGGGCTCTCTTGGGGATGCTCTTGGAGGCCTCTTGGGCCGTCTTGGAGGCGTCTTGGGCCGTCTGGAGGCCATCTTTGGCGTCTTGGAGCGATCTGGAGCCGTCTGGAGGCTCTCTTGGACTGCTCGGGACTCTCTAGGACCGGCTTGGGGCGCCCTTGGGTCGTCCCTGGGCCGTTTGAGACCTTGAGGGGGGGGGGGCGGCGGCAGAGTGGGGCCCCCTCGGAGGGACTTTCAGGAGGTTTTTGACCAGGCACTGGAGAAGGGGGCCAAAGACTGTGCCAAACACTCTGTCAGAGAGGTCTCGCACGGCCCACACCGCAGGGCGGGAGCGGCCGGATCTGAAGGCTGCCGCCTCTGCCGCCGACCCTAAGGAGGGCTTGGTGTGAGCCGGCCCAGGGTGTAGTCTACTTCGTTGAGGGTTTTTTCGGGACTTCCGGCCGCGTTTACTGGTTCGCGCCTTCGGGGCAGTGTAGTGGTTGGTGTATTGGAGGCGAAGATATTCAGACGTCGGAGTGCTCCAGGGGTCGGCGCTGGGAATCCCACGGGCTCCAGAGAAGCCCATTGAGTTTCGTTTGCTTGGGCTTCTGTGTGCAAGCAATCGCGCGATCGTCAATCCAAGTGCCAGTGACAGAGAAAGAACTCGCAACGTTCATCACGCGTAGTGCGCTAATACCGGACGTGTCGTGCGTCTGGGGCGCCTCGGAGGAGCCTTCTTGGAGTCTCGGGAAGTTTTCTTTCTGTTTTGGAAGGGGGGGGCGGCGGGGCTGGGTCTTGCTGGGCCTCTCAGGCGCTTATGGGTTTGCTTGCGGCAGTCGTTGGAGCTTCTTGGTCGTTTTTGAGGTTGTCTTGGGAACCTTGGGGGCCTCGTCGGGTCACACGCCGCAATGGCGCAGTACGAGCTGGTCGTAAAGCCGTTTTTGGAGCTCACTTGGCTCTGTCTCGTAGCGTCCGTAGCTTATTTTGGAGTCACCCCGAGGCTCCGAAAGGGGAGGGGGCAGCCATCTCACGCGCCGAGTACCTTCAAGGGGTCAGCGGAATTGGGCATTCGTGGTGTGCCTCTTGGCTTTCTTGTGGTGCCTTGGAAGTCTCGTGGGCGCTCCTTTGGCGCCCGTCGGGCGTCTTCCTGGGG